CATGTTTGAGCCCTTGCCTCGCAACGCTGCCAGTTCTGTTAGCTCTACGCCTGCCGAAGAGACAGACGTCCATCCCCGTGAACACTGGGACGCAACTCAATGGGAGAGGAAAGGATTCTTATTTCAACCGTTGCGTATATTAGCTGCAACATATGAATCAAGATGCTATGACCGAAAAAAATGTGATTGACAGATGACCGTTGATTTATGATTGGCCGAATTTAGGTGTTCAGGCTGACGTAGAACTAACTGGCCTGCAGAAGATTTTAAAGGAGGAATTTTTTTTATATTTATTTATGTTTTATTTAAACTACATTTCTAAATTTAGGGACAATATAGTATGATAAAGAGTACATTTATATACATGTTTAATCCAGAATGATTTGACATTTAAATATGATTTCCCTAAGACTTTAAAAAAACGAGCCTGAGTGCTCTTAGGAGAAATAAGCACTGATTTCCAACAATGCCATGGTGTCATTGGTGACTAATCTTTCTACAGAGTGGCTCAGACATTGTGGCTCTGTGTGAGCAGCTGCTTTCAGTAGAGTGTGGCTGCTAGCCATCGACTGCGGAGCCTCGTCAGCCTGCTGTTGCGTTTAACACCTGTGAAGTGAAAACTGTGTGATCAACTTATATCTTTCTGTTTAAGTAAGAAGTGTATTTGTTGAGGGTCACAAGGTTGTAAGATGACCCTGCAGAAACTTATCTGAGTTTCATAACAGGAGCTAGGAACTGTCAGATGAAATAGGCGTTGCTTATTAGTAGCAAACAAGTGGTCCCACAGACCTTCTACTTGTGGAGGTATTAATTGTCTATATTAGCTGTTTATTTTCAGGTAGAAGTAGCTTCAGAAACTGTCTGGGCTGAGCAGATTAAGGCCTTAATCAGAGAGGTTCAGATCCAACGAGGACACAGGAAGCCTGTATCTGCTGTTGGGAGGCATTTACCTTGGAGTAGGCCTGTAACTGACTGCCCATCACTTCCAGCCTGGAGAGCAGGCGGTCCTCGTCTATCAGAGCCTGATGGAGACAGTTTACAGAAAGACATCTTAGGGCAGAGGAACAGATGAAAGCACAGTGTCTGATAAAGCAAAGCTGGGTTGATCTGGGTGCTTTCACTCTAACACTAAAGGAATCCTGAAAAACTGTAAAGAAAAACTCACTTCATTTCACAGTAAAACCTTCAACCACGTGATTCTATCAAACAGCTGAAATACAGCTCATATTCAAGGGTGTGGCTCCCACCTGCCAGCTGCTCTCTGAGGCCTCTTGAGTAGTGCTGAGGAGCCGCTGTAGGGTGGCCAACTTCTGCTCCAACATCTGCTCTCTGTGTAAGGCCTCCTGCAGAAATGGACATCATCCGCTCCCTTAAATCAGTACCATTTCTCTCCAGAACTTTTCTACTCATCCAGGAAAGGCCAATAAAACGTCTAAACAGTCACTGAATTATGGAAACCTGTACTTTGAGGCTAAGCTTAAATTCAGACAGTTAATCTTTTTATGTTCTAAAGTAGAACACAAATTACTAAAATTAAGAAACTGGTTAAAAAATACCTGAAACGTTTATTTATGTTTGAATTGAGCTTTTTTTTACTAAAGTACAGAATCAACATGGTAGGTTCTGCAAAGTGGATGAAAAACCTAGTGGGGATTGCAGGTAAGACAACCAATATAATAAAGACAATGTGTTTTAAAAAAGTCAAAGAGTCTTAAATGTGCTTTCAGGTAAATAAATGTAAAGGAAAAAAATGAACAGTATGAAAGCAGCTGCTGTAATGCCAGATAACTACCAGTAGGTGTCAGTATCTTACCTGTAGATACTGGGAGAGCTGGAAGAGTTCCTGTGAGTACATACTGGGAGTGTTGGCTGCGACCTAAATAAATGGGACAGATCATTAAAACACTAAAAGAACAGAAACGCTGTAAGCAAACAAATACAGAATCGTTTTATTCAGATGATTTAGTTCAGAGGCAGTTCTAAGCTGGTAGGACGACACAGAGCTGCCAATGAATCTAAAGTGGAACATAGAAACGGTTCTGATAGTAAACTTTCAGATAGGCTTCAGATCAGCCAGTGAACCCAGCTGGAGATTCCTTCATCTCTAAAATGTTCAGTAATTAGACAGGAGCAGCAGAATCTTCATGTTTAATGAATGAGACCCAATCATCCAAATTAAAATCAGTCAAACTTGAAACTACAGATAAATGTTCTGTTCAATAAAATGCTGTTTTTAAACACAAAGATGAAAACTGATTGTGAATGCAGCTCTATTGACTATCTTTTTTGGGGCCAATCAGGACTTTCTGGCCATGTTTCAAAGTACAGGGACCTACTGAACAGAACTCAAAGACATTTGAAAAACCTGATCAAATGTTGCTCTGTTGACATATCTGGGTTAAAATGACCAAGTTTAAATGTCCAGGGTGTAAAGAAACTCAGCAGCAATCTGGACCTTAAAGGAATAGTACACCCAAAACATGATTAGCCTTCATTTTCTACTCACCCCCA